GGACGCTTAAAATTTGATTTTAAATTACCATAATTATAGGTGACCGAAGTAAATTTTATTTCATTTCATTCGTATAATTTGCGTCTTACTATTTGGTTTCAATAAAATTATGCATATTTTCCCGTATTTTGCAAGCCTTAGTTACTCGTATGCATCAAAAGAGGCATTCGATAACATATCACCCGATTTTTTCTGGGTTATTGTATATTAGCAGTTTTTAATCATAGCTTTCTTGATTTATATTGATTAATTGTCTTCCAAATAATGGCTTTAGATATTTCTTCCGCTCTACAAGGTCTTCCGAAACAGCTCTGGAATCAACTTACAGAAATTATGTACTTCAATATTAAGAATTTTGTTGTTCGGCAATTAAAATATAATAAACATTAACATTATTTCAGATTGTTGAACATTGTTCTAAATTACTCAATTAGACGTTGTCTGAAATTCTCTTTCCAAAAGTTAATTTTTTTGCATCTCGTGCTTGGCGTATGTTTGCTGGTCACACACGCCTAGCCCAGTTTTTATCCAAATCTACCGCTTAAAAATGTAATAACTGTTACTACGCTTTACCACGGCAAATAAACAAGCTCGAACATAGAATTACGCAGATGAAATTGGGAAATGGAGTGGGCTGAAGCCGAGTAGCCATATGGCGGCGCTGTCAGCGGGGGCGTGGAGGTGCAACAGCGCGAGGCGGCCGGGGTGCGGGGGGCAGAGGGGGACCCTCGGTTAGACTTCCGGCCGGGACCGGTAGGGCACGCGCACCTGCCCCGCCGGAAGTGGCTGCGGCACGCGTCAGCTGGACGCGCCTCTCCCACCCACGCGTCCAACGCCCACGGCGCCCTGGCCTCGCCGCCGCCGCCACCGCCGCCGCCGCCGACCCCGGCGCGTCGTGGGCTACGGGTCGCGCCTGTTGAGATCCGAGGAGCGGCCTCGCGGCAGCTTCCAGATAGCGCACGCATTGGACCCGGGGACGTAGGAGGGGGACAATTTGTTTTCATAAGCAATACTCATATAAATATTCGTAACTTTATAGCTGTCAGTTTGAAATAAAAAATATTGATTAAAAATTATTATTAAAATTATATGTATAATATGGGAATAATCTGAATGTGATGCGATTAATATTTTTAATATCGTAATACGTGATTTTAATGTATAATGTGTGATAATAGTTTTAAATAAGTTAAATAAAATTATTAAAAAAACTTGATGGGTGGAGTGTTTAATGCAATTAGCTCAATTCCAACCGAATGGCAATTAAGGTGGGCACCTAATGCCATTCGGTGGATGAGCTAATGCATTAGAAATGTCGCCGGTGGAATTTTATCTCAAAAGTTGAAGGTGTGTGCGAAGCAACGACGTACTTTCTGTTAATTGATAATTGTTGTTTAATTACTCTTTAGGAATTTTCGTTGTTATGTTGACTCTCACAGTCAGATGGGGTATCGCGGGTAGTGTCAGTCGGGGGAAGTTTCGAAATAGCTTCGGTCGTTCCGTCGGCAAACACTTATAACTGTACTCCCATTTAGGATCTAATGATTTAACAAAGTTTTAAATCGCCATCGCCTACCCAGTAGATGTCTCCAGATATCTACACATTTCACGACTATTTTTCCGCGCTAATAGGATCATTGGCAGTTGAGATCAGTTGATATCATTTCTTTGTTCATAACTTTGTGTCGTAACGTGGAAGAGTAAAATCCATCTATTACACGCTTGAAGCCAATGTTTTAAAATAAATGACTCTGTTCGACTACCGGGTGAGTATCTCATAGTATGATGAGGGGGAATCATAATGCATTTAACAATTCGTGTTAGGTTGAGGTCGTATTACGTTCAGTGTGGTCCATTTTCCAGACACCTTCGCCTATGCCAAAAACACAAAAGAAAAAGTAGGTGTGCAGGAGTAGGTGTGCAGGAGTGTGATATATCTTGAAAATGCTCTGGAACAGATTAAAAGAAATGTTATTTCAATTAGCTAAGCCTCCGAAAAAATTTAAAGTCTCATCTCTCAAGATGTTGACAGGGTATGCGAAAGTAACAATTAGTTTTATTCTCCGGACCCACCTCGCAACTACACACCTGGCCAAACTCCTCGAAGTTGAGTATTCCTTCCAATATCTTTCGTCTAATTTCACAGAGGAAGAAACTTGACGACTTGCTCACAACAAAATTTCGCAGAATCTTGAGATCAGTTTTTGAATCTTTAGGCCATGAAAATTAAAAATATATTGCAATCTGTATTTTTATCAAGGAGTATCTTGGCTGTAAACAGATATTCTTTTACAGAAAATGTCTGATTCCCGAACAAGTAAGGGGAATATAGAGATCTTGGAATGACTCATAACAAACCTCTTCTTTTCATTTTGAGTGGACGAAGTTAATGGCAAGTGTGGCTAACTTCATATTATCATATCACTTCATCAATGACTGAAGTTAACCGGATTCATGAGTTACTTTGACTACATTTCCGTATTTTGTACATCAGACATGTTGTGTCTGAATGTAGGTTTATGTATAACACAATTGAGAAAATCTGCTCTAATTTATAATATGAATGTATAATTTCCACCACTTTTATATTCAAATTGGTGAACAACCGTGAAACATGTCAAAGCTACCCCGTTTGACCGCACTTTTTTAAGAACAATTTTTTAAAAGTTGATTGCTAAAAGTAAAATCATATTAAATAATAAATAAAGGTAACCTTTTTTGTGAGAGTACAAAATAGTGAGACTGAGATGTGAGTCGGCGGTGGAATAATTTTCACCTCCCGAAAAAAATCGACATTCCGAAAAGATGTAATCCATCCCATCAACGACATAAGGTGGTTACGCATGTGCGTCGGCGAATCGCAGGCCAGTTGTTGCATCGTGTGGTGACAGGCGCGTTGCAGTGGGGGAGTTGTGCGTCACGATTGACGTGCGTCGCCTTCAATTACTGACGAATGCCTCTGGCATATGAGATCCTCCGGAGGAGGAGGAGGAGGGGGGGTGGCACCCTCCGCGAGTTCCTCGAAGCCCTGCCACCGCGCATCTGGCGCGCGCGGGAACAATTGAAAGGCGGCGAGAGTCGCGCGTGACTTGCTACGTCCTTGTTTATTATTTTTAGCAAGGTATGTCGGGAGGATGGAAGAAGTTATGCCCTTATCTTGGCAAATCGGGGTGAGGCTTTTTTGATCATATCTTGTTAAATGAATAGTGAATATATTGGTTTCGTTCCGGGTATGCTTGTTCTCTTGTTTTCTCGAGTTTGAATAAAACTTATCAATTCTTTCCCATTTCACCCTCATTCATTGAAATGATATTCATAATTATTAAAATCACTATCATGCAATTCACTACCCTTAGTGCATGTTTAAAATTTGTACAGAAAACCATAAAATAATTAACTCTCATTTCTAGGTCTTTAGGATACTCTAGCACAAGCAGTGAAGAAAAAAGGATGCATTTTTATGGCGATCATGATTATGAAGATGAAATGATTATTTTTAGAAATTTTTGGAAATTGATTAATTTTTTTGATGATCAAAATCGATTTAAAAGACGGTTCATTATAAAATAAAGGTCAATTCCTAGTGAAACAATGAGATAAAGCAACAGAAATGACACCTTGTCTGTGCGAAGTTTAAACATTCAGTTAAAGGAGTTAATCGCACGATGTGAATGATGTTAATGATCTTATTTACGAGGTACAGTGAGTGAGGTACAGTAAAAGGGAAAATATGAGAACGAGTTATCTGGGGCGAAGCTAATTTGTTCTCTTCTAATTTCACACTTAATCACAGAAATTTGGCACGCGCAAAGTTTCTTAAAAAATATTCATATACATACGTATATCATTTACTCGTAATATAAGCATCGTATACTTGTATTATGTAGTTTGATTAATATGTGATCTTACAGTTTACAAATATTTATCACTAGGGAAGTAAACTGGGCTCTCCTTTCGACGTTTGTGTACTTCATAAAAGGATATAGCTGTTAAGTGATGCAGTTAACTGATGTTTAACGGACCAGCCGGATATTTAACAATGCTTGCAAGTTTCCTGCATCCGTTGTGTGCGGTTCATATTCTCAACAGTAACACGTTAGCAACGGAGCTTTGCACGTGGTTTCCGCCTTAACTCTATACCTGCTGCTTTTCTGTTTCCGCTCGGATGTTGAGTTTAGTCGCAATGCTTCCTCGACTGTGCAGGAAGTTTGTAAAGGAAAATAAGCTAAAGAATAAAGATACTCTTTAAAAAATTGACCATTGGAACATGGTATATTACGATGTTCATTGCCACTGTAATTTAACGATTTGTTCTAAAACGTGCAACGTAAATTCGAGTACACTCATTCCATTGTTTTTATTAAAACAATTTTATCAAGATCAGATCATTAACATTAAAATCATTACTTTTCTCATCAGTGGCATATCTGAGATGGGAGAGTATGGGACCAACGTCGCCACACACATTGTTACTTTATTCAAATAATTGCCACATTGATCTATTATATTCATATGACTGTTCCCATTATGAACATACATTTTTAATTTCATGGGGTCAATTAAAAAATTATTTCTAAAATATTTAGAAGGGTCACTAACTGTAACCGAGACAGCTTTCTGAACCAGCAATGTTTGTTGTATTGGTGCTAAAAACTTGTATTACCCTGAGAATAGTGATACATTTTCTGGTACATCTTATGTTTGTAATAGAAGCAGTCAAGAAGCTGAATTTGTAAAGCAATGGCATGGAGATTGCGTGATAAAAGAAGAGAACTGTAGAATTTGCAAACGTAGCAAATACGTAGTGACTGTATGCATCTTGCCAGACTGAGATCTAATCATTTGTTAGCGTTGCCTCAAGCATTGCACGCAATGCTCCTTTCATTTCTCTTGAGTGTAAGAAATGTTTTGTTTCGGGCACTTTCACTTATTCTATAGATACTGCAAGTTAATTTATGAGTTAGTTAACTGAGTTAAAAAGGATGAACATCTGTGACGAAATGGTACTCGTGAGTTCGGAGTAAAGAAGAGCACCTCTACACTATTCAAAAGTTGTTCGTCACGGTTGTTTAACAGGTAAAAAATACGTGACAAGACCAATCGATGCGTTACAGACCTAATGCAAGTACATGTAATGCAATATTCATTAAAGTTCATTAGATATAATGCGTGTAAAATCAGAACGGGAAATCGATGCGTTTACGCATATTTTTGAAAGTGTGTACACGTGCATGAACAACACGTCGATAGATTGATGTTTCTACATCGATTTTATCATTATCCCTGCAACAAGGCAACAATGTACCGATTAAAGTCGCGACAGAAATGCTCTCGGGAAAGCGACTTGGCACGCGCGGCTTCGCTCTCGATTCCTCACGCATCACGCACGCACGCCCACGCACTCGGCACTTATCGCTCAGCTTTCGAATCTCCGCAGCCTTTCGGCGCCACTGTTCGGCGCCATGTTCTTCCCACGCTTTTCTCTCGCCTCGTGGCCTCCGTCCTCGTTCTCGCACTTCACTGGCTGTCGCTTAATCTCTGTAACCCAAGTGCAAGAGCCGCATACCAATCTTCTACGTACAGGTGTCTCTGAGTCAATGTGTACAGGTGTCCTGAGCTAAGTGTAACAGTGTCTCTGAGTAAGTGTACAGGTGTCTCTGAGTTACCTGAGTAAGGTACAGGTTGTTCTCTGAGTAAGTGTACAGGTGTCTCTGAGTAAAGTGTACAGGTAGTGCATCCTCTGAGTAAGTGTACAGGTGTCTCTGAGTAAGTGTACAGGTGTCTCTGAGTAAGTGTACAGGTGTCTTGAGGTTAAGTGTACAGGTTGTGTCTCTGAGTAAGTGTACAGGTGTCTCTGAGTAAGTGTACAGGTGTTCTCTGAGTAAGTGTACAAGTGTCTCTGAGTTAAGTGTACGGTGTCTTCTTGAGTAAGTGTACAGGTGTCTCTGAGTAAGTGTAACAAATTTCGGGGGGATCGAGGATGGAGCGAATACTTGCGGATATACAGTTTTTCCCAACATGGTAAATATATAACGAAGCCAATCATGCGACCTTTATTTTTAGCCTGCATTGGTGTTTAGATCAAAACGTATACTCCAAATCAGTTACTTATCAATCAGGGGCAATGTCGAATGATTGAATGAATAGTTATAATCCACATGTTTATTGGAAATGAAGATCTTCGATCCCCCAGATGCCTTAAAAGTTTGTAAAGTTTATTTTGCGACACTGTGTACTGTTGCAGAATAAACTTGTTTTACGTCCTTGCACTTTTCAACGCCTGCAGACATCCTCCATCTCAGATGAGACATTCTTCAAGTTGGAACCAATGTGATAGTAACCAGTATCCCCATCCATCGCGCGGATATGATTCGTGAGCCTTTATTGGTTGTTGCAGATTCTATATTGCACAAGAGCTCGAGAGCCTATTGCAGTGAGCGCTGTATTAGAGAAAGGGAGCCAGACAACATCTTGATGGCGCTGTCGCTGAGATCTGCATGCCCATTCACCTCCCACGCGGTCGTCTGAGCAATGTTCGCTCAGCTCTCTGGAGAAGGAAAGAATTACGGGAGGACTTAGATTTGAAAGCGATGTATGATGTACTAGGGATACCACAATGGGGTACTAGGCCCCATGCCACAACATCCAATAGCGAATATTTATTCATTGAGTAAATGCCTCAAGAAGAAGAACAGACTGTTACTCTGGAAATATGTTAAGTGATTGTCATTGCGTATGAGAGATTGTCCTAGTAATTTGTTAATTATTTCGTAATAACATTGTATATCTACATGCTTAATTATATGTATCGTTACGTTTTAAAGGAAAGTGACCCTGTCATAAATAATATGAAATAATAATATAATAATAATAACATTATTATTATTATTATTATATCACATCACTTCCTGTCAATTGTTACACAAGTGCGTCATGCTAGCTTCAATCCTGAAGTAAGAGTCCCAAATTACTTTCCTCTAACGTCAAAAAGCAATGAAATATCTCTCGTCCATATAACGGCAGCCATTCATCTAAATTTTGGTCACAGAGCGAATAACACTATATAATCTATCTAAATAAACTATATAATCTCACTTTTCGTTTCTATACAATTTTGGGTTGTTCAGTTGCTTTAGATAGCGATACAAGTAGTGGAGAGATATGTTGGTCTCGTTACATTATTCAAATCCATCAGATTCTTTGACCAGATTCCTTCTAGATCAAACGTTTCCGATCTTTCAACCACACGTCTCCGTTTAACCTAGTTCTGTCTAGTTCAGTAGAACCGATAGGAAAGTAGAGTATGATTGGCAGACGAACATCCCTTACGTCTCGCGTGGATGCATTTTTTAATTTCATTTGAAGTTACGAGCCTCGTTGCAGATGCTCGTCTGGTTGAGAATGCCCTTTGACGCCTCCGCGCGTGGGGATTTTGCTTGCATCACTCGCCGTTTTAGAAGGAAGTTCCGTGAGCGGGCTATTCATTATTCATCCCCAAGTTCATTCCGTAGTCCGGGCTTTCGTGTACTGGGAAGTCATCGCTCTTTCGTTGCATTTTACGAGAGACAACCCTTTTCGTGGCATTGCTCTGGCAGACGCTGCGTTGCTATTGCATCTCTAGGACGGGTCTGTTTCTAGTCTTTCCGAGTAGGCGTGGCTGATGCAAACGAACCATGTACCAGATCAGTGCTGTATCATACACAGACGACAGAAGGTAGGTTGGTGTTGCTTTCAACGTTTCTCTTCAATGAGAAGAATGGAATTTCACTAGATGTCAATTAAACAGAATTACATTCTTTTAATTGCTTCAGGACCGCGGTGTAAGTTTTGCATTGCGAGTTCAGGTTTAGTGTACTCATTTAATATGAAAGAAAAATGCTTTAATTAATATTGTGAATCTCGGGCTTCAATGTGAAACGCACAAATCTTTTGGTAAAATCCTTCTGATCAGGGTAAGATGTCCTTGGCAGTGTCAGTATTCGGTCAAAATATGAAAATGATAAAGAATGGTTAAGAAATGCTGTATATTCTGGTGAGTATTCAGGAGATTCAACTTAAATGAGAATAACTTCAATTTTTTGTCTGAAAATATTTATCTCATTGTACTGTGGAATACAATTTAACACGGTCTCAGGATTACTACAAGAAGAATAGAAACTGCTTTCGCTTGTCAGATCGCCAAAACAAGTTAGACGGTTCGTTATTAATACTGTTCTTTTTTGTTGCTAAGAAATGAAAAGATGGAAAGGAATAAAATTTAATTTAGCACAATTTTATTTTCATTGTCATTCATTACATTGCAGTTTAGCGAATTATTGAATGTGACTAACAAACCGTTAGGAAAACTGAGGTTTCACAGGTGTTAAAAACGCATCTTATAATTTACCTAACTTTTTTAAATTCCAACTTGCTTTGGTTCATGTAAAAAGCAGAATTACATTACCCATATTACAGAGTTCTATGTATGTTTGTCTGAATCACATTTGCATTTTCTCCTTGTGTTAATATCTGAACTTTGCACTAATTCCTAAGAAATTGTCCTTGTATTTTGCCTTCCTCCAACCAAAACCGATTTCATGAGCAATATTTCCTGTCTCATCTCTATTTTTGCCATCGGAGGAAGTTTGAGTGGTTTATGTCAAGTGACTCATGTCAATTCGCACATGCAACATGTGGCGTGGGGACCGATAAATGTTACAACCACTTCGCCCCAGAGTGCTTCCAGCTAGACAGCGTCCTGACACCAATCAGCGATACCAACCCTCTGCGAATTAGCCAGTCCTTTTTTAGGTTTATCATTATCTTCGCGTGGTTTCTCTTCCGGTGCGTGAGGATCTTGATAACGATTGCAATCAAAACAACCCCTCAATTACGCGTAACGGCAATGTTCATATTTCAACTTCGAAAATAGCCCTCGGGCGAATTTGAAGTAGATCTGCGATAAAACTCTCCTTGCACGAAACCTCATAATATATTTCAGACTAAATGTTCACTGTGAATTAATTATATTTCCAGAATATATAACACGAATTTGTTGCTCTTTAATTCGGTTATTTCATTAATAGAGTGACGCGTTCCTAAAGAGGAACAGAAAAGCAAAGCAGCTAAACAGCTGTTAAGACCTAGAGCGAAACGAAGTGGGAGTTATGCAACTCCAATTTAATGGGATGAAAATTTACTCTCCGCTGCACCTACAATGGTTATAATTCTTAATTAGCGTATCCTTATCTACCTCGTCAGTCCACAAAGTTTGTCAGACGTGGGCAGAGGGGAGAAATGTTTCGAAAACTCCTGTTTTAAGCGGTCGGGAGGCGCTGAAAGCGAGATTTAGTAACGGAGTTAGGTATTAAGGAACTCGTGCGTGTTTGAAAAGTTAATTCAACTTACATGAACGTGTCCTTCAAAGACTGCAGAGAAACCGCGATCTAGTTCCAGAATGGAAAGTTTTTAAGAGTTGGCGAGGTTCCATTTTAAATTTTTCTTTGCGTTACAAGAAGAGAAAAGGTTCCTCGTTATAAAATAAAATGTCAAAAAAACATTATTGAGGAAGTTATATTTCTCACATGGGTTACCGATGGTGACACAGCACAAGATATATTATTTAATATGATTTACTAATTTTGTTACACTCGTTTGGTGCTCATAGTGTGCCCCGGACAAGGGTAAGCTATTTTATTTTCTCGTTTACGAACTATAGGGAACTGTGTTATGTCATGAAATGTTGTTTTATGGAATGTTGAAAAATATTGATATCCAGATATTGAAAGTAGAAGAAGTTTGAAAAGTTTTCTTTAAAAAAAATTATTTGCTGTTCTAGCGAGTTTTTAATGAATTGGTTGAATTCCACTATCTGCCAGTGGAATGGAATCTAAATTGATCACCTTGTGCAGTTATATCTTCTCCATGATATCCTCTTAGTCGCCTTCAGTAAAGTTTAATTCTTGAGTTTTTCTATATTCTGGAGATTTGTATCACATAGAGATCGGTAATCAGCCCATCACCTGGCTATAAGAATGGAATAGATAAAAAAAATTGCATAGGATGAGGAAGAAATGGTCTCGCACGTTACGTGGTCTGAAATAACCACTCATATGGGCCAGAAATGGTTTGACATCAATTGTGGAAATGAATGAATTCGTAGGCTCCCGCGGCCGGAGTCATTTGATACTTGGCTTCCCGGAATGAACCGCATCATAGTCGGTCGAGCTGATTCTTCGGCCATCATGTTGTGGCCTTGTTCTGAACTATACTGCTGAAAGAAGAAATTGAAAAATAAATGTTCAGAGCCAATTTTCCCTTCAATTCTTACCCAGGCAGGGCTTCGTCACCCACAGCCAATTAGCTTGTATCGAAAATTCCCCACTGACGAACCTCAATCTAGGCCTCTCGCAGCTTCTGTTGCGAGTTAGTATCGCGCAGTTAGTACCAGGTATATGTGCATTCATTTTGTCGAACGCCTTACTCGGGATATCGGCGTTTCTTGGGAGGAATTGGGGCGGTACGTTTTAGTATTTTGAAAGCCTTACCAATTGTTGCAGGTGCCCATTCAATCATATTTTCACGTTTGTTTGACGATTTGTTAATATTCTTTGATAGTTTCAAGCTGCCAGCCCGCTAAAACACGCCCCAAGCCAATGTGGTAAGGTCTCTATCCCAACTTCCAGCTCCTCAATGACCTGAAATCAAAAGGTTAACTGTGGACGTGGTTGTTTGCGCAGATGGACAACGCGGGCTTCCAGCCAGACGCCGAGGCGGCGTTTGGCGCATGCCGCACGGGCAGGGGCTGGCGCTGCCCAACAACCGGCGCGCGCCCGACGGCTGACCGCCGCAGCCTAAGAACTCCCGGCGCCAAGCAACAGCAGCAGGCAGCAGGCAGCAGCAAGCAGCAACGGGTTTTCCCTCTCGCGGTGAGCTGAAACCGCCACCTCCGATGTGCGCCCCCATCCCCCGCCGCCCCCATCCACAACAACAACGCGGGCGAGGCCAAAGCGGCGGCGGCGGCCGCCGCCACCTCCGACACCTCCGCCGCCGCGTGAGTTACTTGCTCTTGCCCTTGTTTACCTGTTGAAAACGTACATTAAGAATGAATTTTACTGCTGACACCAGAGTTCAAATTGTGGTAGACACGTGCAAATTCCCACGTGCAAATTGTGGTAGATAGAGCGGATTTCCGGAAGTTGCGAGGGGTTCTCGCGTTTCTGTGCCTGTCCGACCACCCTCACTCTATAATCATTCGTATCACTACTTCAAAAATGACCAGTTTAGATGCCTCAGGATATCAATTGATATCACAGCAATGCCGACGACCGTTAGATACTAAGGTTAGAGTCCCGATGTCGGCTGGGTTTGCGACTCTAGCTAGATAGCTAGGCGAATCCAGCTGCTGTGTGGAGGTGTATTCTAGCGGACGGATGCTTTGATCGGTAGTTTTCCTTGGTTTCTCCGATCAACACCAGGCGAATGTCGCAGCACTACCATAACAAACGCACCGCGAGGGCTTTTCTTTCCCCTTTATTGTCCTATCCTCACTCTTACCCACACACACTTACTTACATTCACTTCACTGCCACACTTGCCGGGAGACCAGTCAGGTTCTTAGAGCCAGTCCTTGCTGAAGTGGTGCGTCGCTGGTTGGAGGTTCCTACTTGTAGAAACCCCTACTAAACGACTTTTAGGCCGGATCTCACCATAGCGCCGGGAAGATAATCGCCACCTCCCAAACGAAAGATACGTGCACTACACTTTCAGGCATGATGACGTCAGCAGTTGACGCGCTCGGAATCACTAATCAGTGAATCAGTCTTAACGGATCTGCGAGTGCAAGGCGGCGCGTGTGTGTGTTGTGCGCAGGTGGGCCCGCGAGGGCGCCGGTGCGGGCGCGGGCGCGTGTGGACTCGCGCGGCTGGGGTGTGGGCGGCGCCGTTGGGAGCTGAGGCCGTCGCAACCGCCGCCGCCGCTGCTGTTGGGGCTCCTGGTCGCCGCCGCCGCCGCGCTCGCCCTCGTCGCCGTCGCCGCCGTCCTCGCTGCCTCCTCCGGTGAGTGCCTGTCATCAGTGCCGCCGCCGGGAACACGAAGCTGTTAAAAAATAACTTATAACTTTCTCTGCAGAGAGACAGCGAGAAATATTGTTAAATTCGAACATGAGAAGAGTTATGTTTGATATAAAAGTAAATATTATTCCACGACGCACTTTTAACATGTCTCATTACCAAGAGCTCGTCCAAAACGAGCACTGCTTACACAGCGCGATTCCGAGTAAATTATACAAATTTTTAGGGCATGTGGAAGAAGCCGATGATCTCTTTTGATGTGTGAACATCTGCTGGGAAATTTATATACCGATTTTACTTACGCGACTATTCCCTGGGTTACACATGCAACATTTGACAGTCGATGACGTGTCAACGCACTGAGTAGTAGCTCCTAAATATTCTGAATGATGAAATATGTTGTGAGGACTATTATTTCTTTTTATTTCGTTGTTTCCTGCCTACGAAATGTTTTGTACATAACGACTAATTTACGATGACCAAAGACAAAAATGAAGGTATTTTCGATGTGGGAGTGATACAGGCAAAACAAATGCATTTCAAAATTAGATTTTATAAAAATATCTAGTTTCAAATCGAGCTTCGATCACTAAATATCTGCTGGAATGTTATTGCGTAACTGTAATGTTAGTAAAATAGTTTCTATGAGCACATTTCACTATGTCAGAACTGCACGACTTTAGTTTGCACTTCAGGAACTCTGGCGCAACCAGCCGCCTCTGAATTACAGAAGCAGCCACGTAAACTTTGAACAGTAAAGGCACCCTACGTTTACTTCATTTAAACTGGTCGTTGAGTTCCTCGCCTGATTGATAAAATAATTTATTATTAGAAAAAATAATTTATTTTTAGATAAAATTTATTTTCGTATTTCATTAAATATTTGCAGTTTTTTTCATAATGCCCTTGCCTCAAAGATAAAGTTTCCTTAGACTAACAAAACAAATGAGGCCATACGACATTATGACCAACACGTGGGAAGGCTTTTACTCCGTTGCCATGTTGACATGATTTATTTTTATTGGCCGAGAAAATTTTTATTTCAACTGCCCTCATACACGTCAAACGCAGCTTTTTGAATTCATATCGTTACACGAGATGACTTCATGCTCTTGCTAAAGTGATACTTATTTAGTTCTTTACAATGTTTTCGGAACTTCCAAAAGTAATATTATTTTAAATTACATCTTATTAAGAAACGATGTACGAATTAAATATTATTGCGATATTTCGTTGTTTTTTTTATTTTGACATGAAAGTATTTTTAAAAGCAATATTTATATCAGTTTCCAAGATATTCTTGGGAGTGATTTTCCTATCCACGTACCATCCATACAGCGTGTGGTTGTCTTTTGCTTTTCCATGCAAAATGAACACGTAGGAACCCTAACACTCCCGTGAGTGGTGTGCATGCTTTTTTTTCGGATCTGACGTCTCCAGACAGGTACCATTAATTATTACCGCATCGGTTATTACGGGGCGGGGTGGGTCGATAGAGCCACCCATTGTGGAGCAGGGTTTCGTACGCGCGGGACCGCGTGGGGGCTTTGTGGGGCTGTCCGCCGCCGCGCCGGCTGCCAGCGCCCCCCCCCTGTGCCATGTGAATATGGCGTGCACGTTGGTCGCCCCCCGCCCCGCGGCTCCCCTTCGGCTTGTTCGCCACTCCCTGCGCTGGGCCGTCACGCCTGGCGGAGCACACGCCGCGCCGCTAGGCGCTCCTGCAGCTGCTCCGAGCCCGCCCCCTCCCCGCCGCCAACCTGGCTCTCGCCTACTAGCGTTTTTCACCAACACACCCACCCACCCGACTAGAGACCTATATGACGCATGTCCATCACACACCAGCCTGCTCCATCACCCTTCCATGCACGTACAATATGTCCCAATAGGTACCAACTTTGCCTACCGCGTAGTGACTGCCAATCACACAACCCATTCATCCACACACGTCTACACACACAACACACACACGAAACACGCGCGCGGCACACACACACACGAACACACCGGTCTACAGCAGTCTATACACACAACACACCCGGCTACACCCACTCGCCCTACCTATCCACCCACCAATCATCAGTCAATCAACCCACCCAATCAATTCAATCAGACCCAATAATCAATCAACCCACCCACCCAATACCAATCAATCAATCACCCCACCGCACACTCCAATGCACAATCACCCACCCACCCACCCCATCATCAATCAAACCCAACCCAATCAATCAATCAATCAACCCACCCAATCATTCAAACCCAATCAATCAATCAACACCCACCACCATTCAATCAATCAACCCAAGTCAATCAAACCAATCCGCCCAATCAATCAATCAGCCCACCCAACCCCCCTTCCCCCTCCTGCCCAACCATCATTTCACCCACCCCAATCACCCACTCCATTGCTTCACTTACATCATCCCATTCAACCATCCATCCTACCCTTTAGAGAAAATCATCCCGTAACCGGTCCCGCCTTGCGCTCCATCAATCGGCCCCCTCGAATACTCTGCCCCTTCAAAACGGTCCACTCCCCTCCATCAACCACGAACATACGTTCGACATTGCTTTATCACACCCACTCGGAGACACACACACGTTACCCATTACCCATTTTTAGGCCACAGTAATCCAACTAGCTTATTATCGCCATCGCCAGTATGAAATGACATCAAATATAATTATATTCCATGGCAATATTTGGCTCCCATTTCAGACGTATCAGTCGCAAATGGCACCACTTCTACCATCCCCTGCGCCTACCATTGATAACTTCTTTACCGCAATTTGCAATAAAGTTGCACCTCACTTTTCTTTCTTTTTTTCTTCTTCTTTTTCCTTTATTTTTCATTTTATTTTTCCTTTATTTTTCATTTTTTTCCCTTTATTTTTCATTTCTTTTTCCTTTTCTTTTTCCTTTTTCATTTTCTTTTTCATTTTCATTTTTCTTTTTCTTTTCATTCCTTTCCGTCTTTCTTCTTTTTCCTTTTTCTTTTACAAAGCTCTTTATTGGATTTCTCTCTCTTTAACTTTGCAATAATCGCATGTCGTGTCATTTCTTTCCATCTCTATATGCATAAGACACTGTATCTCTTTCAGTACCACTATTACCACAATGAACCAATCATTACTATCATTGTCATTAGTCACAATCACTGTCGTAATTATTGCGGTCAAAAAGTTTTCATTCTCTCCTTTATGGACAGTACTTCTCGTCTAATAATTTCTACTACTCCTAACGATCCATGTTTGTGAACATAGAGTGGACAAAATGTCACGTTCGATGGTACTCAAAGATGATTTCTACTTTGTTCGCAGAGGCAATCGGTTATGTTTAGAGTTCGAGACCAAAGGAGATTTACGACTTTTTCATGCTTTAGCAAGGTAATAAAATTGCACAATGAACCGATAGTATGCACAACAGTTGAATGAATGCAAATTTTCAGGCCTGCAAATCGATGAAGTTTGTAGATCAGATTAAAAAATAAATGCAATTTATTTCGCAAATAAATGTCTGAAATTGCTCTAAAGTCATTCACAGTTCTGCCCGAATTGTGATCTTGTAATCAACAATTTAATATTTACAAGTTGCAGTTGAGTTTATTGGTAAAAATGCATAGTACAATAAAATATCCTTGTAATTAATAATATTAATATTCTTAACCTTAGAATAATAATTTCTACTAACCTACATTTTTATCAAGTGAAAGTTTCTATGCCGCAGCAAGGGGCAATGCGTCACTTGTTTTTTGTACGCATGTGCTGTGCCATTTGCGTGAGTACTTAATGCGGAACGTACCATTCGCGTGCGGTAGAATAATTGGAAGGAAGAATGCGAAATATTTCTCGAAATTAGCTTACCATTAATTTTAAGGTACAATTG